CACTGGTCTATCGAAACAAGAAGGTGTAAAGTCCAGCTTACACAGCTATAGATTTCCAAGTCAAGCTTGGCAAATAATAAATCTCGTAGATACATGCATTTTTAGAACCTGTTTTCGTCTTTATACTAACAGTGTTTTTTCTTTCGATATATGTATATCAAGAGTGGTTATATATATTTTCTTTTTACTTTCTGAGAGTAAGCAAAGGAAGTATTGTAATCGAGTCCGTCGGCCGACTCTCTACTTTAAAATAGGTCTTCCGTTTCTGTCTGTCTGTCTGTCTGTCTGTCTGTCTGTCTGTCTGTCCGTCTGTCTGCTGTCCCGGATGTTTATTTGACAGATAATAATCTCCGAAAGTACTGGGTCGATTGTTGTCCAATTTTGTATTTATATTAAGAATATCATGTAGATGGTAAAACGCTAACCAAAATTTGAATAATCATCCCCACCACAAATATGATGACGTCACTTCAAAATTGTACATAGTAAATGGGTTTTAAAGTGTACACAATAACATAGTCCTACACATGTAGTTTATGGTACCGAATTGAATTTTTACCCGAAACGTCCAGATTTTTGGAAAAAAAACACCAAAATTTTGAAACAACATTTTGCAATTTAATTTGGAATTTCCAAAACCGAAGGCTTTGAAATCTTGCAGATGGTTTACAGTTATGATAAGTATGATACATTTTTAATCAAAATATATTTACTTATCCCCTCCAAAGAATTGATGACGTCAGCTGAAAAGTTTGCCGAATAAATCCTGTCTAAAATATACAAAATATGATGAGTCTGTAATTATGGTTTATCATTCCATTCATACTTTTTTGGATTTGCATATACAGGGTGAACCAAAAAAATTAATGAATGCGTGAATTTATTTTATTGTGTTAATCAGGAACTACAAAACCGAATGCTTTAAAATCTTGGAGATGTTTTAAAGTTATCATAGGCATGGTAAATTTTTGACCAAAATGTATTTGCTCATCCCCCCTGAAAATTTGATGACGCCGCCCTAAAATTTTGCTGAAAAAAAGTATACTTGTGTTCTAACACTGCATTAACTTATACGGGGTGTTTGTAAAAAATTAATGACTGACTCAATTTATTTTATTGATTAAATCAAGAATTGCGAAACTGAATACTTTGAAATCTTGACGCTTTGAATTTATTGTAAGCATGTTAAGTTTTTAATCAAAATGTGTCTGTTTATCAACCCCAAAAATTTAATTACGTCATCTCAAAATTTTGCCGAATAAATTCTTTCGAAAATGTGCAAAATATGATCAGACTATACTTGTCACTCATCATTGCATTCATGTTTTGTAGATTTGCTTATACAGGGTGACCAAAAAAATTAATGAATCAGTCAATTTATTAAAGAAAGTGAAACCAGAAGTTCTGTCGAAATAACTTTCGACCAATTTTTATAAACTTGCGGCACTTCGTAAAGCAAATACTTTCGAATGTTATATAGCTTCATGGTAACTGAGTGCAAAGACCTGGCATTCCTTTTTTAGCAAAAATTGAAAATTTTATTTTCTCCATTTACAACATGAATTTATCAATTATAAAGAGCTTTTAATATTTCAAAGCATTAGCTACAAGTATAAACTTTTTTGTCAATTTTTATAAATTTTGGTTACAGAAAACATAATATATGCAGTTATTTCTGAGTGTCCATAGAAACAAAAGGGCTAAAGTGCAAATTACACTGCTGCACATTTCCGAAGTCAAGCTTGGCAAATAGCAAATCACGTAGATCCGATTTACGGCGCCCGTTTACGAAGTTGTATCGATAATTCGATACCTCTGATTTCTTATGTGTCAAGTCAGGACCGTAAAACATATACGTATGTGTAATTGTACCTTAAAAATTCCGGTGTATTTTTTCTAAAACGTTGAACTTTCATCCAGTTTCCAGTTCCAAGTAGAATCTCTAATTATGCATGCCGTCGAAACTGGTGGGGGGTGTTAACGCTAGGGCCGGTATGTGGGTGTAGGTGGTATTATTGCCACCGAACAATACGAAAAGTATTTTTATGGTTTAACGGTCTTCCTCTGAGGATATATTACTTTCATTTCGAATCAATTGCAATCCATCTGGGGAACGAGGGCCCGAACGGAGAAATCATTCTCACCCACAATTAATGACAATCGAAATTAAAAACGTAAAGACCGTTATTGGCCGTAATTCACGCACAAATCAAGCCGAGTGGAATTCTTACATAAATAATTCCCGAAAACCAACCCCCAATAAATACGCCAACGAAGACCGGGGGCAAAGCAATCTAGAAACATTATTGGATGGTACTGTGTTTTGCGGTGTGAAAAGCCGCAATAACAAATCATATGTAAGCTTTTACTAACAGATTTTAACTGTCTATGTAATGCTAACATAATGCGCGGTGTTATGAGGGAAATTGGGTTTACGCGTGATTTTAACGACCATGGCGGTTTGTGTGCTTTGTGGTTTTTAGTTTTTACTTACACTCTACATACTTATTCTCCAATTATTTTTGTATATCGCCCCCACTAGTGGCGATGAAGTACCGAAAAAGATAAAAGTTGCAGGAAATAGCGGATTTCGCGGAAAATTTTAGATAAGTAGCAAATGTTGAATGTTTTTGAATTATCGCAGACGTACACGCATGGACATACTTTTCCTGAATTCTTCGGTCGTAATACAAAAAATGAAGAATTTCATTAATATACACCGGCCATTGCCGTTGTGCGTGTTATACACGTCAACAACGAAATCGACTGCCTACTACAAGTACTAAGAATGTCTGCCGTGTTGTTGTCTTCAATTGACGGTCCACACAAACATTGTTTTTCAAATGCACGTAAAAATCTCTGTAGTGCAGTTTATAACGTCGACAACATAAACAAAACGAAAATAATATAGTTTGAAAATACTAAATATCCGCTTGCGGCTATCGATTAAACTATCCCCTCATCAAACAATAAATAGCAGAAATTTGTCGAAATTTGGCTACTGGTGAGTAATAAAAACGTTCCAAGTCGATGTTTCTACGGATATTAATGTGTAAACGATTTGTTACATTTCCAGGTGGCCACAAGCCACTTTAGCGGAAGAACAATAGTTAACATTATCTGTTTATTTAGCCTAAGCAGTTGGGTTCCATCTCAATATATAAACAAAACTGAGCGGTCTTAGACAAACAAATAAAAAGCCATTTCATTTCTGTATGATATATTTATTTTTGTCCTACCAACTTTACGTCCATGAAATAAGTGAGTTTTTATATAGGTTTGGGATAGTCTCACTCGGCAGAAAATTTTCGGCGTGGTTTGGATTGTTCGGGAGTTTGGATGGGCCAGCGGAGACGGGTTTTTAAGACGAAATTATTAATTGAGTTGAGACGAACCGGCGGATGTAATTGCCACCGGTGTCAAAACTACTAGTTTTTAGTTTTGTAAATTGTTTACGTGTTTTGAAGATTCTTACAAAAGTAAGAATCTTCAAAACACGTAAACAATTTATAAAAAAATGCTTTTGTCTCTTATTGTTGGTGCCGTTTTTTGACTATTTTTTTGCACATTTGACGACAGTAGAATTTTAAAATTTTATTCATTTTATTTACGCAAGGACAAGAAAATCCATAAAAGAAACCTTTTAATGTTACTCAACAAATTATATTTATAAACATCGAACACCAATAATTATAATAATAATAGTAATAACACAATTACAATAGCATTCATAGCTTAATCGCATCTAAAAATATCTGCAACAATTTGTACTTCGTTACATAAGGTACAATTAAGCAATTATAAATGGTTATTTGCGCACCACTGACGATTATTAGATTAATTTTATCATACATTGTTAAAAATAAACCGTCTGTATATACTATATTAGTGGTTTATTGTTATTATTATTATTATTTATTTAAGAGTTTATTATAATCAAGAAATTTTCAACTGGGCACCTGTGACAATTAGACATTTATATAAGTGTAATTTAAAATGCATTATTCGCTTAATTTTGAATTATTAGTAGGTACTTTAAACTCTAATTAATAATAACCTGAACATTAACTTGCCTAAAATGACTTAAAGACCCTGAAAATGTCGAGTTTTTTAATTTTTATAGATTCAAAAATTACGTGTTCCGAGTAATTACCCACTTAATTTTGAATGGGCCGCTTAGCCTTAAAGATGGCTGTACTAAATGTACCGCCCCGAAGAGATATTTCGTACACTACATGAGAAATGTTCGAATATTTTTTATATTTGGTAATTTTGAAAATTTTTGGTAAAGGCAGCTTATTACAAGTAACTTATTTTGATATAGGTAATCTGATTGTTTCTTGTAGGGTAGCCGAAACCAATCGCCAAAAAAATAAAACATCCCAAAAAAAGAGTGTTTTCGAAAGTAAAAAAAATATCTACGTAAACATGAATCACATATAGTTAAACAAAATTTCAACGTTTTATGAAAAAAACATTGTTATGAAATGTTTATTAAACCAAATTTTGGTTACTTACTATTTCTGTGAGTTACTTTATGCATTAAATAATAATAGAAAAAAAATCCCACTGTTTGAAAGCTTTCGAAACTGGAATTTAAACACACTAAGCAATACGAGCAATTTTTTTCATTACTTTATTGTTTTTTCAGAGTTTTATTGATAGCGTGACGAAAACTAAGTTGAAACTTTGTAATGTTTAGAGCAAGAAAAATGAGAACTTCATATATTAACTTCGCTGAATTAAAATATGTTTTGAATGTCAAAATAACAAAGTATGAATTTATGTTGTTATTATAAGCTAAACGGAACATGCACACTATATCAGATCTCAAGTATTCACCGTCCGCCGCTACACTGCTTGTTTTTCGCTCCCACCTTCGACACCATTTTTGCTAAAACCGCGCGTTCGACTACCGTCGCAACGCGTTTTTTCCGCATGATTATCGCAGCATGCATCTGATCTCGTCCGCGCGGCAAAAACAAGCAAAACCGACTTACTCCGAAATCCTCTGCTGTCGTCATGAATTCCGGGCGAGTCGTTGTCGGTCGCCGGGCCATGGGTCCCATCCCCGTCCTCCGACATGTGGGCGTCCAGACTCTCCTCCTTCACCGTGGTCTGGGGCTGCGGCGACATCGACGCGCTCGCGGGCGAACACGAGTCAGTTCGGGGGCTCGGCCCCAGAAACCGCTCTTCCGACGGCGAAAAAATACCGTGGCCGTGGTGGACCGCGTCACTGTTCGTCTCGATTTTCAAACACTTGGGGGGCGCGAAAGCCGACGGCGACGGAAAGGCCTTGAGGTCGGCGAGGGGCCGGAAGGCCCCCGAGCCGAGCGACAGCCCCGGGTGCAGGAACTGCGGCTGCAGGTGATTGAGGATGTGCGCCGGCAGCCCGCTGTAGGCCTCCATGTGCCGCAGCCCGAAGCTGGAAGTGAAGGGCCGGTGCAGCTCCTTGGACGCCTCCGACATAGCGAACTACAACACAAAGGGCCGGTGAATCGGGGGCGAAACCTGCGTTTCCAGATTTCGGGTACAACAATAATAACAACAATGACTGTGATAATTAGTTGTATCGCGGACAAAGCGGGGGGCTTGGACAAAATTTTTGTAATCCCGCCCCCTGAAGCAACCCCAGTTGCAACAGCCGTGCAAGTTCAAGATCTCGTTTGTGACCACGGGTGGTCCAAATTTGGTCGGTTTTTTCCAAATTTGGTGCACGATAGTAGTAGTAGTAATGACCGCGATAAATGCATTTCGATTCGTGTGTCTCGAGAGGTAAATAGTCGCGAAAGTAAGGACGTGGAGAAGTCATAATGTATATAATATGTCGACTGAGATATCCTACTGCAAACTAATTGGTCATTGTCTGCGGGCATCTTCAGTCATAAACGCAGACGTCAAAAAAACAATAAAATGCAGCCACACTGATGATATACCGCAAATTGCATGGGAAAACAAAGTTACAAAATCAAGAATTAATTTAGTCGTTTCGACTTTCAAACTTGCCCTTGCACATCTAACTTTGAAAGTCTTTCGTTAATTAAACTCCTCATCAAGCTCTCAAATTTCGAAGTCATTGTCCCAGATGATCTGTCAATGACTTGTTACTTGACGCCGCGCTTCCTTGCTGATTTTAACTAACCTGCGGATTGAACGGACGTTGTATTCGAAGGGCATCTTGCAGGCCACCGGCTGCTTGCGAAAACACGACGAGGGCTGGGGAGTTGAGGTGTCCGGAGCTCGGGACGTACGCCGAGTTTTCCATGGCTGAAAAAATCGCGTTGATGCGGAGATATTTTTTGGTCGAATCTCGCTTACCTGCGCGGGGTTGCGTGGCGGTTTCGCTTACGATAGTCAAAACTTACTCGAAAATTGCATACGCATCATGAACGACCACCCGGATAAGACTGACAGAAATAATTTCCCTCTCCTAAAAACCCACGTTGTACTCCCACCCCTAAACTCCGCGCACCACGTGCTCCGACCATTGAATAACGCCCTTTTATCTCCGAATATGCGTGCTGAATGACGATACATTGTGTGCCGTATTTATGGTTTTTGCCAGGAGCTTCTTGTGGAGGGCATTTTTGAGTTGCCGGGAAAGTGGGCGTAGTCAAAGCGAGCCTAAAGTCGACCGAATGTGCAGTTCATTAATGCATAAATTATTATTATTATTATTAATATTATTATTTGCAAAAAGCAATTTCCTTGTGGCACATTCAAATGCGACGAATGGTTAATTTTAAAACACATTAATTACAATCAAAATTAAATTATTTTGTAAATGTATATTTTATTTCTCTGTTTTTAATTACAATTTATGGATTACAATTTTTAGCTACATATTTTAATTCAATTAAGGAATATAAATACAAATTTATTTTTAATCAATTTATTTTGCAATGTTTCTCACAGATATATTTATTTTTAGTTAGAAAAAATATGTCCCGATTTTTTTTTACAACTATAGTGTAACTAACAATAGTGAGCAAAACTGAAAAACTCTTATTAAAATTAGAGCTGTCGCCATCTTACGTCGAATAGTCCCACTAAATGTAGGTGCTTGCCTAATACACACTGTAATGATCTGTAGCTACATTTAAAATAGATAGATAACATGAATAGCATATCACAAAACAACACAAATTATTTCATTACAGTTAATTACTGATAAGATTACAGAGTTCTAATATCTTACATACGTTATCTATAATTTAATATATAAACTTTGTTATCTGTCAGTGATAAATAATCATATGACTCCCGTTTTAGGAGTACTTTTTTTAAGTCCCATTGTTCAACGTTGATAACCAGAAAGATTTTTCCGGGTTTGGACCGTGTCACGCTTGGAAAATGTTTCGCGCCCTTTGGTAATGGGTATCTTCCCGAATTCAACGACTAGAAAATGGAAAATCCGGGAGAGAAAAGAATGACACTGGAGGATCGTCCAAACCCGGAAAACCTTGACCTGGTTCTGACTCTGACTGTGAAAGCTTTCGATTCTTTTCCAGTATTTTAGTGCATGAACAAAGTAAAATTTTAACAAACTTAGACATAGCAGCATTATTGAAAACACTATAAATTCTGAAATAACGTATAAATTGGGTTAGCGTTTTACAATCTACATGATAATTGTCTGTCAGGTAGACAACAAATGAACGAAAATGGAAGACCAACATTTTCGTGTTCGGCAAGTTGTGAAATGGCGGGAAAACGTAGGATTAGACATTCGTCAAAATGATGATGAGTTAAAATTAGGAGTTTTCCACGTTACCAAGTTGTTGGTAGATACAAATAAATCAATATGGATATTCCCGGTATAAATGAGACTAGGAACTATAATGTTTTATACAATTTAGATAGGATTTATCTGGCACAGTTTGGGGGGGGGGGAGGGGAAACAGATACATTTTGATTTACCAATTATTATATTTATGATAACCGTAAAACGTTTCAAAAAAAATAAAGGCCGATTAATGAACCACTATTACTGAGCTGTATTATTTTATAACATTTAAATAGAATTTGCCTAACAAAATTTGAGATGGCATCATCAAATGGTTGGGGACTACACCATGTTATACAGACTTGGCGCACTTGGGCTGGAATATAGTGAATATGGATTTTTTCAATCGTTAGCGTCATATTAGAAAAAAATTCTACTAAAACTTGAAATTTGAAATTGAATATTTAACAGAAATTGTTCTGCATTATACTTTTGGAATATACTTGTTAAAATATTCACTATGAACTGGAAAAACTCGTATGTTTGAAAGTAACTTCATAGTCAGGCACGTAACCAGCCTTTTATTTTGGAGGGGCCCAGCCCGGGTACTAATTTCAAATAAGGGGGCCTTTAAAAAAGTCTTCATTAGTATAAATCAACATTTTACTTGGATCACAACCAGTAATAAATTTAATGGGGTACAAATAGTTGAAATTGACTAACACTATGACAATTCATTTAAAGCCTGCGTGCTAATCTGCATAGTGCGTAAAAGGCAAATCAGTTGTATCGGCTAATTGATTAAAAAAGTTATCGACAAAATTCATAGCATCAGTATCGCTTTACTTCAGAGAGTTATATTACAAGGTAAGAACATAAGATTACTCATAGCTAAAATTTACTGTTGATCTGAAATTTCGAATTTGCTTTACTTATAAAATTTAAAATTAATTTAAGGGGGCACCAGGGGTAGCACAGGGTGTTGCTGGGGTGGCCTGTGCCCCCCCCCCCCAGGGCCCCCTTGGTTACGTGGCTGTATCATATTGCTACACGTTACTTATTTTACTCAAACTTGAAACTAAAAAATATCAGTACAGATATTAATCCTTAAAGAACATGTACTAAATTTGCGTAATATCTAGATATTAACTTAAGTCACATTCCTCCAATCCACCAATAGAACTACGGTCATTGTAAATGTCATTTGTTTAATTGTTTGAACAGTCGCCTGTCAGCATGTGCTTTCTTCCGATTGGTCGATTCCCCACTAATCAGTTTCGTGTTGCTATTTTCGTAGTATGGCCGTTCTTCTGTCACTTACTTCTTCAAACTATGACAAACTGACAAAATTAATCGCAACTTGCTGAAACAAATAACAGATCGCTTCAAACCTACATTCCAGTGCTTCAAACAATGCTTAAAAAGCTCGTAGTATTCTGCTTAGTCGTAAACATAACCTCAAACATTCACTACGTGTCCAGCACATCCAAAGAAAATGCCTCGAAAGCCGTCAAGCTACCCCCTTGTCGCGCATGCAAAGTATTCGTAGAATCCTTCAAAAAAGTAAGTACTTCACTTAAAATGACCCCCACTAACCCCCAACTTAGGGCATCGAGAAAACCAAGAAAGGGAAATTTGAAGGAGGCGACACCGCATGGGAGGAAGAAAAACTCGGAAGTTACGCCACCAGTGAAATACGGCTGGTGGAAATCCAGGAACATGTTTGCTCAGACGTGCCTGAGGGCAAAGACCAGTGCTACGCCCTCCACGAACACTTCGATGCCGAAATTGAAGACTGGTGGTTCAACTTGCAAACAGACGAACCCGATTTGTATTCATATTTTTGTATAAAAACCATCAAATATTGCTGTCCGGATTTACACTTTGGGGCCAACTGCACGCCTTGTTTGGGGTTCCCGGATAACGTTTGCAGTAACAATGGGAAGTGTAAGGGTGCTGGAACAAGAAAGGGAAATGGTCAGTGTAGTTGTGATGCCGGATATACAGGGGAAGCTTGTAATGTGTGTTCAGAAGGGTATTATGAATCTTATAAGGATAGTAGTAAGGTGCTGTGTTCGAAATGTCATGTGGCTTGTGACGGGCCGTGCACGAAAGCAGGGAATTCGGGTAATTTTGACGAATTTAGTTACTTGTTGTTACATATTTTTTCACAGGTTGTGAAAAGTGTAAACAGGGTTGGCTAATGAGTGAAGAAAAGGGTTGTCTTGATATTAACGAGTGCGCTGATTCACAGTCCCCATGCAAAAATAACCAGTTCTGTGTGAATAATGATGGCTCATATAAATGTTTAGACTGTGATAGGGCTTGTGCTGCATGCACAGGAGATGGGCCAGATATGTGTACTCAGTGCGCGCCAGGTTTTGTACTAGTCAACAACATGTGCACAGGTTTGTATATATGTGACAGCGTAGCTGCTGAAACACCCTACAATACTGTTTTTTGCTACAGATGCGGAACAAGAAAGTCGGAAACAGCACGTCTTCTTGACACGCTATTTAACATATTTGGGTCTTTGCATCGCTACTTGTATTATTTTCAACAAAAATACCGTTGTGGCTGCTATCGTTGGTATAGCCGTGGCTATTTACATTTCTGTTTCTGAGTATGTACTCAACACACCACCCACTCCAAAGACGGACGATTTAGCTGAGCAGTTGTTACGCGCGCAATAGATAATTTTATTTATTTAATTTATTTTGTATTACAAAATGTGATTTGATGTTACCCACTGTGAAGTTTTATTTTCGTATGTTAGTAGCTACTGTTCTATTTAATATTGCTTCCATTGTTTGTGAGCGTTTGACTGAAATAGAAAGTACGTCCGTTGTATTGTTGGTTGCAGATACTAAAAGCTGCAAACCGAATTAAGTTATGTCTGGCAAAATTACAAAAAATTTTGTACTTTTAAATAAAGGTAATTACAAAAAAGGAGTGCGATTTTTCCCCCTTTTTCTGTCAAAAATTTTCAAATCACGTCAAATATTTTAATGTATTTTTAATGCACGCCGTTACTTACTTTTTTTTAAATTTTTCGTGACGTGAATGTCACAATCGGTTATTTTTATTTCCCTTTGTTCCAAATTTGATTATCGGAATAAAAATAAATAAACCCGAAATGCTGAACCATTTGTCATTTGCATTTTGACAGTCTGACAGACATAAGAAATCGAGAGATTTAAAAGCCAAGTCATGGTAGAGAAGCGCAGGCTCTCTATAAGTACACCGTAGTATATTTACAACCACACCATACTCATTTATTATCATCATTAATTTTAATAGCGCCTCAATAGAAAAACTATAATTAACACTTTTCAATGTTAATATTATACAAGTCATTTTCACCGATTATAAATAGCGATTAACCATGTGTCAGAGTGGCAAATATCAAACGAAAATACCCATTAAACCTTGACGAGAAAGGACATCACCACTTAAGACCCCGCATGATTTCCGTATTCTCTTCATCCTTCGACTAATTGCAATCGCGATAATTAAAAGCATGCGTGACAAAAATCCACTCTCTAGTGTGACGCTCTAATTTCCATAATTACAATCGCGCAGACGAATTTGTAAACGCAAGTGAGTGGGAAATAATTAAATTGAACGCAATTTGGAGAAATTTGGTAGTCCTTTTGTTCGAATAACATTTTTCCCCCCCAAAAAGTCCGAGTCATGCGCATAAGAAAATGTCTGAAAGTTCGTTGAACGAGGTAAGAGCGGTTCCACTAGTGTGTGACACAACGCGTGCTTCGGGGCCACGTGATGAGCGGTAGCCAGTGGGATGGTGTCACGTAATTAGCGGCGACCAATAGCAGCGGGGGCGCGCTGCCGACGTCGTGTGAAGCGACTCTACATGTTCGATGTATGCGCTACATCGATGTTTACATTGCGAACATCGAGGCTGTTTCTCAAATATCGATGAACATCGCCCATCAGTAATTGGTTGGATTCCTTGTTGGGTTTTCGCCACGGCCATTGTGTTGTCGAAGTGGTTACGTCTTGAGTGAAGGAAAGTGGGTTCGGATACTAAATTCATGGTAATATTTTTATGACAATAGAAGTATGTCGTCTCCAAGTGCAGGAAAACGACGTATGGACACAGATGTTATTAAGCTGTATCCTTTCTTTGTGTGTTGTCCAAATGTAAACAACAACATTATCCTTTGTATCAGCTGATTGAGGAATCGCACGGTGTGAGACTCCCTAATAGGGGCATTCACTTTGTGGGTGCGTACTCGATCTACTCAATAACGTGCTATTTATATACACGAACTGCCATAAGATTTGACAATATGTTATTGTCGTTATTTCCTTAACAAAACGCAGAATTGAAAGCAAACATGAAGTCACGATCCTTGGGGGACTCAACGAATTTTGTGTCAAATTTTACGGACCCAGAGGGAGTAAGGAGTTGACGCTAACGCGACTTTTTTCTCACTGTGACAGTTGTAGCTCCTTACGAAGGAGGAGTTTGGAAAGTCCGTGTTCACTTGCCCGAACACTACCCTTTTAAATCACCTAGTATAGGATTTATGAATAGAGTATACCATCCAAATATAGACGAAGTCTCAGGTACAGTCTGTTTGGACGTCATTAACCAAGCCTGGACTGCTCTATATGGTACTTTTTTTCACACTAAATAGCGACTTTTTCACTTTTTTTTTTCTTTCTAGATTTATCAAATATTTTTGAATCGTTTCTTCCACAGCTGCTAACTTACCCAAATCCCATCGATCCCTTAAACGGGGACGCAGCAGCAATGTATTTACATAAACCAGAAGAGTACAAGAAAAAAGTCTCTGGTAACGGGAAATTAATACGTTGTTGAGGTGTTAAGAGGTGTTTTTTTAGAGTATGTACGTAAGTATGCAACTGAAGAGGCGTTACGAGGGCAAGAGAATGTCAGTTCAGATAGTGAATCAACCATGTCAGATTTTTCAGAAAATGAAGCTGAAGATATGGAATTATAACGCAGGCTGTCTACCATTAAAAGCTCGCTCAATCCTCCTTTCGCTAAGAATCATAATTTTTTTTTAGTGTTATATGTGATGTGCATTAGGTTTGAAATATGTTGTTTTGCATTTTCTAGAGTTTATTGTGTTGCACAAGTTACAAAATGCTTATTTTCAAGTGAATTATTTAAGTTTTACATTAATTGAGCTTAAATTAGTTGTAGCGACTTAATATCTCATTAATTTGCCTTATTAAGTTAATATTGTGATGATGAGCGTAGCGACATATTTATTTAATAGATTTAGTCAGAGGTAGAGGAAATTTTTATTGTGGTATACACATCATAAAAAGTTTTTTTTAATTTATCTAAGAAATGTACAACCAATGAAGAAGACCAATCAACTTTTTGTGATGTGTATTTTTTGATTAGCAATTATTAAACATTTTGTACAGTATATTTCCTCTACTGGTATAGTTAGTGCAATAGGATAAGTTGTTGTCACTTGTATTAACTTTTTTCAAATCTTCACCATTGATATCATTATGGTCTCATTGTATATACATTGTGTCTTATTTAATCTTTATATATATTTTTAATATGTGTATTTATCAACAATAACTGCACAGAGAAAAAATAGTCAGATTGTTTTGATGTTTGGTTCAAGTGTCAAAACAAAAACATTGTCCATACAACATGATCCACATCACCAAATGTTTGTAATTTTGATTATTACTAAGGTAATAAGTGTAGGTCATTTGGTAGCATTTAACAGTAATAAAGAACTAAATTTATTAGCCTCTGGTGTTATTAACCCGAGTTTAGACAAACCCACCTCTAAATTTAAATGCGTACAATGCTATCTATCTTTGGGTGAGTTTATTTAGCGATATATCAGTTAAACAACGAAGGAGGAAATTTATTGTTGTTCGCCTGCCTGTTATGTATCTTTATCTATTTGTATTTGTACAAGTACGGACATACGTTGTGGGTGTTCGAGAGAAAGCGAAAGACAGACATATGCTTCCACTCTCGTCTGTTACATCGATTAAATGACACCTAGATAATCTGAGCAACTCATCAATATCTGTCTCTGTTCTGTAAGGTTTGTTTCTTTGCTGTGCAGTGTAAGCAAATTGTGTGTTATGCGAAATTTTCTATTTACTTGCGCTAAATATTAATGAAAATTCATTTGATATGTCGCTTATAACTTGAAGATAAAAAAAACGGAAGAATTTTTATCGATTACATCCGTAAGTTGATACTTTAACCACATAACCTAATTTTTGTCAATTTTTTTTATTGTGTTATTGGTTCATAATTTATCGTTATTTGCCGAGTTACACCAATAACAGTCTAATTTTTATCGCATCGAGTATCGATTTACACTGAATAATGCAAACAATCGATTTCTCAAGAAAGCGTTTCATTTTATTCATAGAATGTACACTGTTTGCAATGCTGGAGCTGTGAAAATCTACCAATAAACCTTCATAATGAATGAAATGGGTTCTTCAAGCCTTCTGCATTTGGGAGACATTGTCTCCTTATATGCAGAAGGTACAGTTAGCGGATTCCTCAGTACTTTAGGGTAAGCTATTGACCATCTTCCATATCCAAATATAGATTGTTTTTATTTTAGGTTAGTTGATGATCGATCGGTCGTGTGTCCCGAGGCAGGGGACTTGTCAAATCCACCGAAGAAATTCAGAGGTTATATCCACAAAATGCTAAATTTCGCAATTCTACAGTCTCATTTTCAGACTGCCTCTTTAAAATATGTCCCATGAACAGGTACTCAGCCCAGAAGCAATTCTGGAAGGCTGCAAAGCAAAGCATGGGCTCAAATACGGACACCAACCTGTTGAAAAGGTTACATGTAAGTACCCACAAATGGTGGTCATCATGGAATTAAAACTATTTTTAATACATGATCCGGGAATGTTGCGGAAATGGCAGCACAATGAATGATCGTTAAAAATACATTCAATCAATAAATATTCAAAATTCGAAGTCGGCGTCGGTGGCGCGGACGGCAGACTAAACCATCACTCCTAATTGACATTTGGCATTTCCCGGCCTTTGAAAATGTCACATCTGTGAACTCCCCAAATCTAACCTTCAAAGCTATAAATATTCGCTGCGAGGTATACTTAAATACGTTTAGATATTTTAAGACTGATTAAAATTCGTTTGAAAGCTTTATTCTATTATAAATTAATTAGGAAAATATAATGTGGAAAATTCCGGCTATATTTTTGGATTTTATGCAAGAAACCACCTCATAAATTTATCTCATACCGCAAATACAGATTAAGATGAACAGTATTCAAACAAATAAAATGCCTGCAATTTGGAAACAAGACTTTTCGCCGAAAGTAAATATTGTGTCGTCTCTTCTGTTTATAACACGATGACGTCATACTTTTATTAAATTAAACTTCACAGACGCCCAACTTTCTGCTCTTTTGAAAACAATTCCGACGAAGTCTGCAGACGGGAAAAAATGAATGAAAAACGCCAACTGACATTGGAAACGTGAAGGTTACGTCTTTCCAACTATTCGTTGTATAATACATTACCTTCAGTGCCTTCACTTTTAATTTTTTACGTGTTCGATCATCCGTGACGCAGAATTCAACACGAGGGTTGAAAAATTTTCAAATTGTATATACATATATATAGAACATCCATCACTGTCAATACGATATTTACGTCGTATGAATGACCCACCCGTTATGGAATTGGACATCCAAATTATATTCACGACCATCAATGGAAATACGAAACGATCCTTCCGTGAGACAAAGCTAATTGTTCGAACTCGGGAGGATGAGCTTTCTTTGGAATATCAATGATATCACATTATATAACCAAATTATTTAATCGTGTAAGATATGCCATTTAAGGCGCAGTGACCTAGCGAAAATTTTTAGTGGAACATTTCCTGTGCACTAACTGTATTTTTCATTAGGATTTAGCTATTTTCTTAAAGAAATGTATAAATTAAGTTAGGTTAATTTTCGAAGATTTGACAATCACCTTTCACATGATGGGTAGTTCCATAAAAAAATGAAACGGTGGGGATAGAATACTTGTTTTCAAAAATTGCGCTACTAATGAGCTCTATGATTCTTTTGGCTTGTAGCACGCTGCCGAGATCGAGAAAAAGCAAAACGACACTGAGAACAAGAAGCTCCTTGGAACCAACGTGCAATACGGTAGTGTGGTCCAACTTCTGCACTTAAAATCAAACAAGTACTTAACAGTAAACAAAAGATTGCCCGCTCTTCTCGAAAAGAACGCAATGCGAGTGTACTTAGACGGCAACGGTAACGAAGGATCTTGGTTTTATATCTTACCATTTTACAAGCTGCGAGCGACTGGTGACAACATAGTGTTAGGAGACAAAGTAATCTTAAACCCTGTGAACGCAGGCCAACAAGTACTGCACGTTGCCGCCAACCACGAACTCCCGGATAACCCAGGCTGTAAAGAAGTGAACGTCGTCAACGGGAGCACCTCCTGGAAGGTGACTTTGTTCATGGAACACCGGGAGAATTCGGACGAGATACTTAAAGGCGGCGACGTGGTTCGCTTGTTTCACGCCGAACAGGAGAAGTTCTTGACGATGGACGAGTACAAGAAGACCCACCACGTGTTCTTGCGGACCACGGGTAGGACGAGTGCCACTGCTGCCACGAGTAGTAAGGCGCTGTGGGAGGTGGAGGTGGTGCAGCACGACCCATGTCGAGGTGGCGCAGGACATTGGGACTCGCTTTTTCGCTTCAAACATCTCGCTACTGGACAGTACCTGGCTGCAGACGTCGACAGCGACCAAGCTGCCGATCAGATGAGGAGTAAACTTAGGGCTGATTCAGCCGATTCCACTGTGTATCACCTCGTTCCTGTCGCTTACCCTAACGAAATCGCGTCGTTGTTCGAATTAGATCCGACTAGTTTGACCCGAGGCGACTCCCTCGTTCCACAGTCCAGCTACGTGCGGTTGCACCATTTGTTCACGAATAGTTGGGTGCATTCCACGTCCATCCCGATCGACAAGGACGAGGAGAAACCGGTCATGTCGAAGGTGGGCTGCGCGGTAATGAAGGAAGACAAAGAAGCCTTCGCTTTAATTTCTGTTTCGCCGGTTGAAGTTCGTGATTTAGATTTTGCCAACGACGCGTGCAAGCTATTGTCGGCTTTATCTGTTAAATTGGAAAAAGGGACCATTTCTCATAACGAAAGACGATCGTTGACAACGCTTTTACAAGATATAGTCTATTTTGTAGCCGAATTGGAAAACGAACAAAACAAAACCGAAGCTTTAGAGTTAGTTGTTACTAATCCAAATAGAGATAGACAGAAGTTACTAAGGGAACAAGCTATTCTCAAACAGCTTTTTAAGATTTTACAGGTACGCGGTCGTTTTTGACGCACGAATGTGACTAACGGTAAGATTTCAGGGCCCGTTTTTGGATATCAACGGGGACGGGCCTTTTTTAAAAATAGAGGAACTCAACGACCCACGACACGCATCTTATAAGTATATATTCAGGTTATGCTACAGGATATTGCGGCTGAGTCAGCAGGACTATCGAAAAAATCAGGTAAGGGTCGATTATATTTAGAGTTCCGTTGAAAATACTAACCACGGTGTTCCCGGTAGGAGTACATCGCGAAACATTTCGGTTTTATGCAAAAACAGATCGGTTATGACATTTTGGCGGAGGATACGATAACGGCACTGTTACACAACAATCGGAAATTGTTAGAAAAGCATATAACTCCTGCTGAAATCGAGACGTTTGTGGGCTTGGTTCGCAAAAATATGAGTAACTGGGAATCTCGTTTTCTAGATTATCTGTCAGATTTATGCATTTCAAATAAAAAAGCCATTCCCGTCACTCAAGAATTGATCTGTAAAAGCGTACTAAGTCAGAAGAATTCGGATATTCTGATCGAAACGCGCATGATGAAAACTCAGGTTGAAGTCCAAGAGGTGAGCGAAGAGCATCCTCTGGAAGGGGACGACGAGTTAGAACAACTAGTTACGGTCGTCGAAGAGTGCCAGATAATTCTCTTGTGGAATAACCGCCAGAAATCCATGTCGTTGTCTGAGTTGTGCAAGAATGCCAAACTCGGAAGTCGGGACGATCAAGCCATTTTGGACTACTACAGGCACCAGTTGGACTTATTTTCGAATATGTGTTTAAATAGGCAATACTTAGCTCTCAATAACCTGTCGCCGCATTTAGATATAGAGTTAATACTCAAGTGCATGGCTGACGAATCTGTGAATTTTGATCTTCGGGCATCTTTTTGTCGCCTGATGTTGCATTTACACGTGGATCGAGACCCACAGGAGCCCGTCACGCCTGTCAAATACGCCCGACTGTGGTCGGAAATACCGTCAAAAATGTCGATTAACGAGTAAGGTTTCGTACTATATTATTTCCAACTCAGTCAACCCTCGTTTCAGCTACGATAGCAATAAAACTCCTGACCTCAACAAAGAAGCAGTCCGTGCAAGATTTTGCTCAACTATAGCATTCGTCGAAGACTACCTCTGCAACGTTGTTGCCAAAATGTGGTCGTTCGCCGATCAGGAACAAAACAAGTTGACTTTCGAGGTGCGTAAGTCGAAATCCGGCACCGTTTGGATTGATTTTTGAATTTTAGGTTGTGAAACTAGCTAGAGAATTAATCTATTTTGGCTTTTATAGTTTCTCTGATTTGCTTAGATTAACCAAAACCTTGCTAAGTATTTTGGATTGTGTTTCTGAAAACGATTTTGCTGATGGTCGATTACCTACTGGAGATATCGATTGTAAGTGTTCACGATTTTCTTAATCAATCAGTCACCGCTAATTTTTTATGCAGCTGGAGACCCCCTGCGGGATGAGAAAGGTAGAGATTTATGTGTGTGTGTGCGTGTGTGTTTGTATTTTCGCCATTAACGAATCCCAAGATAAGCCTATGTAGCTTATCCTTAGCACCCCGTAGAGCTTACCATGTTCAGCTTAAGTCACATTTTCTGACATCATTTTTATTCGTGTTTTTTACAACAGCCGAAGGCGGAGTCTTGCGCTCAATCGGAGACATGGGCGCCGTGATGACGTCACTAGCTCTAGGACCGGTTGGCCGCTCAGTCGTCACAACCAACGCCGGCCAACACGGCAAAGGTTCACAGTACATGAAAGAGTACCCGCTCGTCATGGACACGAAATTAAAAATAATCGAAATTTTACAAGTACGTAACGACGAATCAGAAGAGTATTCACTATTGGCTTGCTTACTTTTAGTTTATTCTTGACGTACGTCTCGATTATCGTATAAGTTGCCTCCTCAGTATTTTCAAACAGGAATTTGACGAATCGGAGAAAAACAGCAGCACCGATTCGTTAAACTTGGGCCAAAAAAATATCGACTTAGAATTAATAGGGAGTCAAGCGGAAGGGATTTTCGGTAGCAGTGAAGAATGCGCCGTCTTAGATCTCGACGGACATGGAGGTCGCACGTTTCTGAGGGTCCTGTTGCATCTGACCATGCACGACTATCCACCGCTCGTTTCAGGGGCTTTACATTTGCTCTTCCGGCACTTCAGTCAGAGACAAGAAGTGCTACAAGCTTTCAGACAGGTATGCCTCATTATGCCAGTCTTTTTCAAGACTATTACCATAGTAATAGTGACACTCGGGATACTCCTTCCAGGTCCAACTACTCGTTTCTGATAGCGACGTCGAATCATACAAACAAATCAAAGCAGACTTGGACGTCCTCAGACAGTCGGTTGAAAAGTCCGAGTTGTGGGTATACAAATCAAAATGTATAGACGAACACAACACTACCAGCAGCAAAAAGAATAAAGAAGAGGATGAAGAAGTGGCTACGAAACCACCGACTCTTAGCGTGTTGGAGAAAAAAGGGTCTGCGATTAATCTGGATGTGGGCCCGCCCCTGCATCCAGAGCAAGCCGACGAATATAAAAAGATCCAGCAAATTTTGATACGCATGAATAAGTTGTGCACTCAAGGCTCACCCAGTGGCATGGTGAAACCCAGAAAACACGAGCAGCGTCTGCTCCGAAACGTCGGAGTACACACAGTCGTGCTAGATTTGCTTCAGATACCGTACGACGAAAAGGAGGATATAAGGATGAACGAACTGATGAGACTGGCGCATGAATTTCTTCAAAATTTTTGTTTGGGGAATCAGCAGAATCAGGTGTTGTTGTTTAAACACTTGGATTTGTTTTTAAATCCTGGGGTAAGTAGAAAGGGGGAGCCGCGGGTTTGATAATAGTGTGATGACTACAGATCAGGGAGGCTCAAACCGTTTGTTCGATATTCCAAGATAATTCCACTTTGTGCAATGAAGTGAATGATAAAGTTATCCAGCATTTCGTTCATTGTATCGAGAGTCACGGACGGCACGTGCAATATTTGAAGTTTTTACAGACTGTGGTGAAGGCGGAAAATCAATTCATACGGAAGAGTCAGGATATGGTGATGCAAGAAGTAATTTTCGTGGGTTTAAGTTTTCCGGTATTTATTGCTGTACTTTCAGTTGATTAACGCTGGTGAAGATGTTTTGGTGTTTTATAACGATAAGGCGTCTTTTAATCATTTTATTGAGATGATGCGGTCTGAGCGACATTGTATGGATGAGGGTAGTCCTTTAAAGTATCACGTGGAGTTGGTGAAGTTGCTAGCGTGTTGTACCATGGGTAAAAATGTGTATACGGAAATTAAGTGTCATAGTTTGTTGCCGTTGGATGATATTGTGGCTATGGTAACTCACACTGATTGTATACCTGAAGTGAAGGAAGCTTACGTAGGGTTTTTGAATCATTGCTATATTGACACAGAAGTGGAAATGAAGGAGATCTATACATCTAATCATATGTGGACGCTTTTCGAAAAGTCGTTTCTTGTAGATATGGCAGATATAGCAACCGCCCCCACCGACAGAAAACATCCTGATAAAGCGTTAGAGAATTATGTGACAAACTGTGTGATGAACATAATATCCACTTTCTTTAGTAGCCCCTTTTCAGACCAAAGCACTACAGTACAGGTACCATTTTGTAAAGACTTTGCGTTTAAGTTGCATGTGCTTTTCTTTGGGTATTTCCATCTTGTGCTTAAAAATACATTATTTTATGTTTGTATTGATAGTTTTATTAGATGTGCATTTAGAGTAGTGTTTTTATTTATTTTGAAAAAAAAAAACTATCAATATAACAACTGGCGTTTTCTATGGTGCCTTTAAATGGGGATTCTATTAGAAACATCTGCATGAAGCAAGGGTTTTCTGGAGCGATTCTACAATGGATGATTATGATCCGTTCTCTGTTAACGTTCCGCTCAAACATTCGCCACTTTCCTCTAATGTAAGTATCAGTTGGCTTCCTCAATCAGCTAATAATCAATCATTAATCCCTTCACCGTAACTAAGATTGGTTATTACTTGATTTCGCTTCCTGTGCCCAATTTGGTTCTAATAATCGACGGTGCTTCTAACAGGATGTCATGCATGTCATCATGTGCTTAATTTTGGAGGTGAATTTTGAAAGCCATTTCCTTTTTATAACCTCTAATACATTACCACCTGAACTTTTTTTAAAAACACATTCACCGTATTTTCCAGACAAGACAACCTATTTTTGTGCAATTATTGCAATCAGCATTCAGGGTGTCTCAATGCCCTTGGCTAACAGCCTCACAACGCTTCAACGTCGAAAATTGTATCCGAACTTTATCCGAAGTGGGTTAGTTTTTTCCTTAATCCGTCAACCACAAACCTTAAGTGCCTCATTTTAGCGAAAAACCGAGGAATCGCGATCCCACTCGACCTGGAAAGTCAAGTGGCCGCAATGTTTAACAAGGCAACAATTTTAACGAGGCAAACGAGCAAATGGCTGCAGGCTTCAAAGACTCCAAAGATGGAGAGGTCGCAATCTCAGGTAGACTAAAAAAAATTGAATAAAGCAAAGACAAACATCGAATTTTAGTTGATGCGTTTGGACAGAAGTATAATCGAGGGGTTACAAGACATAGTGTCGCTGCTAGAGGACCAACTGAAACCACTCGTCCAATCCGAATTGAGTCTCTTAGTTGATGTTCTATATCGACCGGAACTTCTTTTTCCGCCGGGGACCGAATCCCGCAAAAAATGTGAAAGTGGGGGGTTTATTAGACGGTAATTGTTACAAAACTAGTAATTACACCTGTAATGAGATAAACTTGAATGGTTTATGTCATTTCCGGTGAAACTGGCTGTCACACTTACAAACTAAAGGTAGACTTACACAACCATTTCCAGGTTGATTAAGCATACCGAAACCTTGTTGGAAGAAAAAGAGGAGAAGCTATGTGTGAAAGTGTTGAAGACGTTACGTGAGATGATGGCCATCGATCCGGAATACGGAGAGAAGGTTAATTTTCGTATTCTTCTATTTCATTGTTACATTTATTTATTTATCTATTTCTAACATGCTGCTCAGAATGATAAAAGTGACAAAACTGAAACCGATATGGTATGATTATGTTTGTTTCTTTGTGTTATTGGGTTGCAAAATTCCCTTTCCACACTACACAATTTTTGTTTGATGTGTACACGTGTTGTAGACCGTTGTTAATTTAGAGATTTATAGGGGGACGTGTTGCGAAATAGCTTGCTGGCACGATATTTCGGAAAAGCTTTTGTACAAAAACATGACACGGTGGAGTTGGGAACGTATCAACTGTCGTCGGTGATGCACGGACCGGGAGGTAACAACTAACCCTTTTATTCCAACATTTTAATGCGTTTTTATTAGCTAAAGTGTTAAGTCGGGCTGGTCGGACTTTACACGAAGTACAAACCCACCTAGACCGAGAAGGCGCATCCGATTTAGTTATAGAGTTGGTGATAAACTCAGTCAACTCGCCGTCGATATTTGGCGAAGCCGTCGAACTAGGAATCGCTCTCTTGGAAGGTGGGAACCCCATTATCCAAAAGAGCATGTTCAACAAGTTAGTGGGGGGCGACTTAAGTCAGGCTTTCTTCAAGGTAGAGGTCACACCTACCTTGCCTGTTTTGACGCTCTCCTTGCAGGTGTTCTACGATAAAATGAAGAGTTCGCAACAGGAAATCAAGTCTACTGTAAGCGTCAACACCTCCGACATTGCTGCGAAAGCGCACGAGGATAAACAAGACGGCAAAGACTTGGATAAAGTTTCGAAAAAGCAAGGGGGTAAATCAAACGGAATTCTCATAACAGATGAGTTAAGGGAGGAGTTAAGTCGAGCTGCTGAGTCAACGTCACAGGCTTACGCACAAATTCGCAACATGGCGGTGGGGGAGGATGGAACTGTGACGTCAGGAACGGCATCCGCGTTCGAAGATTTACTCGCCGAGAAACTAGAAAAACACAGAGACCGTGAAGATCAGAGTAGTTTATCGAATAAAGTGCTAATAATGCAACCGATTCTCAGATTTTTGCAACTATTGTGCGAAAATCATAATCCCGCGTTACAAAATTTATTACGTAATCAGAATAATAAAACAAACTATAATTTAGTGTCAGAGACATTGATGTTTTTGGATTGTATATGTGGGTCGACGACCGGTGGTTTAGGTTTATTAGGATTGTACATAAACGAAAATAACGTCTCTCTAATTAATCAAACTCTTGAAACGCTCACTGAATACTGCCAGGGACCTTGTCACGAAAATCAAAATTGTATAGCCACCCATGAATCTAACGGATTAGACATAATCACCGCGCTTATTTTGAACGACATTAACCCTTTAGGGAAAACTCGAATGGACTTGGTGCTCGAACTCAAGAATAACGCGTCGAAGTTGCTCTTGGCCATCATGGAAAGTCGCGGCGATAGCGAAAACGCCGAAAGAATTTTGTACAACATGAACCCAAAACAGCTAGTAGACGTCGCTTGTCGCGCTTTCCACCAAGAAACCGCTGAAGACGACGAAGAAGTCGACGACGGTAGTGTCGAAGACGCCGTATCGCCGAAGGAAGTGGGTCACAATATTTATATTCTTTGCCACCAACTCGCCCAACATAATAAAGAACTTGCCGCGTTGTTAAAACCGGCGGAATTTGGAAGCGACCCAAAAATCCAAAAAGCACTAGTGTATTATGCCACACATACCGCACAAATCGAAATTGTTAGAAACGACCGCACACTGGAACAAATCGTGTTCCCTATACCCGAAATCTGTGAGTACATCACGACCGACACGAAAATCAAAGTCCTGAATACGGCAGAAAGGGACGACCAAGGGTCCAAAGTTGTGGATTTCTTCGAGCGCACGGATTCCATGTTCAACGAAATGAAATGGCAGAAGAAATTGAGGGCCCAACCGGTCTTGTTTTGGGTTAGCAGTTACATGTCGCTGTGGAGCAATATCTTGTTTAATTGTGCCGTACTTATTAACTTGATAGTCGCCTTCTTTTATCCATTTGAAGACACTTTGCCAAGTAAGTTGTGCGCCGGTGACAGAACCTAGCTGCAAAACCACGCTTATTTTTTCAGAAATCAGCTCGAGCATTTCGGTGTTGATCTGGGTTGCGATGTTGGCTTCAACTGCCATAGTCGTCACGTTGCCCAGGGAGACGGGCATAAGAACGCTGGTAGCCTCCACTATTCTGAGACTGATATTCTCTCTAGGTCCAGAACCAACACTGTGGCTTCTGGGTACCGTTACAATTTTACTCAAAGGAATACATCTAGTCAGCATAATGGGCAATCATGGTACACTTACTAAAACCTATCAACAAATACTCACCGATGCGGAACTCGTTTATCACTTAGCATACCTTGTGTTTTGCATGTTGGGACTACTAATGCACCCTTTCTTCTATTCAGTTCTGGTAACTACAACCGCAGCAGCGTTACCATGACCATATAACCTCATTTTTAGCTTTTTGACGTCGTATACCGTGAAGAAACTCTTCTGAATGTCATCCGATCGGTTACGAGAAATGGACGTTCTATCATTTTGACGGCAGTACTTGCATTAATTCTTGTGTATATGTTCTCAATTATTGGCTATATGTTCTTCAAAGAAGATTTTATTGTAAGCGTTAAAAAGAAAAATGGTAAGTGATAGAACTCGGTGTACTTTTTGTAAAAAAAGTAAAATTCTAGACGAAACAATCTGTGAAACTGTTTCTGATACTACTGGTAATAAGTATACACCTGACCATGCCCAGTATTGTAAGGTTGTCGACCCTGGTGAAGAAAAGAAGGAACGCGCTTGCGATTCGTTGATTATGTGTATTGTTACGACGTTAAATCAGGGGCTGCGAAATGGTGGCGGAATTGGTGATATTTTGAGAGCTCCCAGTAGTGAGGTACGTAGTTCAACATGTCTACAATGAGTGTTCCTAGGTGTTCTGAACGCGGTGTGAACCATTACCCCTATGCGTTCTGAATTAACCTTAACCTTAAAAACTGGCTCCAATCTAACACTGTTCAACTTTTTATTATTTAGGAGGCTCTGTTCGTGGCACGCGTCGTCTACGACCTTCTATTCTTCTTCGTTGTGATCATCATCGTACTTAACCTTATTTTTGGTGTTATTATCGATACGTTCGCCGATCTGAGATCCGAAAAACAACAAAAGGAGTTAATTTTGAAAAACACTTGCTTCATTTGCGGTAAGACTGCCCTTCTTTGCACGAACCCACCCAATGTTTGACTTTGTTTAGGTTTGAATCGGTCCGCCTTTGACAACAAGACCGTTAGTTTCGAGGAGCACATAAAGTGTGAACACAACATGTGGCACTATTTGTACTTCATAGTTTTGACGAAAGTTAAGGACCCGACCGAGTTTACAGGTCCGGAGAGTTACGTGTACGCAATGGTGAAAGCGTCGAATTTGGATTGGTTCCCGCGTCTGAGGGCCATGTCTTTGGCCGCCGTCGAAGGAGAAGGCGAACAAATCGAACTGCGAAGTCTTCAAGCCCAGTTGGAGAACACGCAACTACTCGTCACCAACCTGTCCCAGCAGTTGATGGAGTTGAAGGATCAAATGGCGGAACAACGCAAGCAGAAGCAAAGAATTGGGTTACTTAACTCGGCTTCGGCATATCTACAGACGCCAAATTTACTGTGAAGAATGTACTGTCGATAAATTATCCTAGTCTTGAGCGTGAAGCTCATTTGTTGTGAAATGATTAATGCAAGTCATTGCATTCACTTAGATAGTCTAATCATAGCTCAGTAATGCTCAAATTCTTCTATAGTGCAATCTTTGAAGAAGTGTCAACTCGTGTACGCATAACCTGTTACTAAAATTTTCTAGCTACAAGATTGTTTCAATTTTACATGTTCTGTGTTGTGGTTATAGGGTTGTATTAAGTGCAGTTTCTTTCAAGGATGTTTATTGTTGTTGTACTTTTAGACTTGTGTACAAAGTTATCGAAATATGAATCTATAATACGTTAACACACACGCTTTTCATTCATATCCAGCCGTGGACGGTAAACGTGGTGCCCTAAAATTGACAATAAGAAAAACAACCGCTCGAAGCTTGCACAACTTCAAATGCAGATATGAAAACGTGATTTATGAACATTTGCGCGAATTTCGTCAAGTGTTGTGACCTTGAAAATGAAAATTTCGCATGTGTGAATCGGGTGGTGTTCAGGCTGTGTGAACCTGGCTTTCGTGTTTGGCGGCGGTGAATGTTTTATGGTGTTTTTTGTGGACTCTGTAATGAGCGTCGAAGGTACAGTCGAGGTGCAGTACAAAGCTCATTGTCTGTTTTTAAGGTGGCGACCTTACTAATACGTAGCTATTGTGGTGTAGATGGCGCGGATGTGAGTGTTTCTTGCGTTATAGATGGCGCTGGGAAGGTAAACAAATATTGTTATAAATAGTGACAGCTGTCAGTTTCGGAAATTGTGCGCGCTTTAACAATAAAGTGTAGACGGCAGAGAGTTAAACTTTGTAAGTTGGCACTAGTTTGTCAATGGTTTGATTTGAAAAGTAGTTGTTTTGAATTAATAATTCGTGTTGTGGAATGCCTAAAAGACTATTAACTAACGATTTGTGTCCATAATATTTGAATTAGATTAGTTTTGAAAATGCCGGAACGTTTCCGCGTTTCAAAATCGGAAGAGCCAAATAATATTTTTGGAAAATATAGTGATAGTCGTACTATATTAGAGGACGAAGACCGAGCGAGGGAGAAACTGCTGCCATCGCACAATGCCGGCCACAGAAAGACACACGTTCAAGGTATACTCCAGCAATTGAAAATCTATTTTTGTATCGACAAATTTGCGGTGTAATTCGTGATTTGTAGTTTGCTTGTACGTGTAGAAGGGTGTTTAATCTCCCTTCTAATTCCATTATCTTTGGGAAGGGTTGTGACGCGTGTTTCACCCTCCTATTCTACCTGTTGTCGATCACGTGTTTACACGACGAATTTTCTATTTCCGTCAATAAATCTATAAGTATTGTATCGACTAGGGATATTTAGTTCACGGCCGGCTCAGTTTAATTAAGGGGCCGGTAAAACAGTGCCGGAATGAGACTGATGTTCACTTTGTTAAAAATCACGCAGGTCGATCAATCCGCCTCTGAATTAACATATACATGGTGACCTTTGCGGTAGTCGCAAATTTCCCACCGCTTAAACCGCGTGCGTCCGTTGCGAGGGACGTACTTCTCAGAAAACCGCCCTTCCTTCAGGATGAACGGAGTGGGAATTCGACTCGTACGAAGATCATACGAAGACGAGGAAGGTACCGAACCACCCCGCAACCCCCACCTAGCACCCCTAGCTCGATGTTTTGCTCCCCGACTCAATATCGCCATTACGACCATTTGCATCATGCAAAACCAGACACCAGACTTCAGCTGCATCGCTTGCCCTTTTACGACCAAAACACAGCCAGACATGCTAACTTTAGTAGCCTTTGTGTTCTAAATAACCTCCATATTTGGTTGTTTATATAGTTTCGGCCACAATTGTTAGCACCATTATTCAAGTTTATTGATATTCAAAGGTCGTGTGCACCTCCAAACACGAAAATCAAAAAGAAACTTGAAAATGTTGCGCTAAATACACACAAAGAGTGCGGTGTATGAAGTTATTAACATCAATCATAACTACTCGTTCGATGCGAGTTTATTAGCCCCGTCGCACTCTCTCAAAGGGTGGTGGCCTTGTCATTGATTAATGTTGTCGGACGAAAGAACGTTTTAAACCAACTTGTCCCCATCATTCGGCGAGCCACAGTTTCAACAGTTTTTTCACGCTGTTTCGGCCAACACGAACCGATTTACATTTTTTACCAACTTTCATAAGCAACTTTTTCGTTTTACGCTCCATTTCATTTTGGCCCACTTTAATCCCTTCACTCATTTCTAGCTTTGTCTCCTAACCCGACTCTATAACTTGACCCTTAATTCAATTTGATGTTAATTGATTGTTTAGCTTGTAGTGGCGTCCCAACTTTGCATATCTAACTAGATCCCTTCGTATCGCGACAGCCAATCTGTGTAACGGATGTCGCTACCACCAGCCAGATTTTTCACTTTTGAAGGTCTTAAGTGTTGTTATGCACAATTCCTCTAAAGATAAGTAGGTTTTAATCGTAGTTGTGAGGCTGCCGACTTGGGTTTCCCGCGATATGGCATATATGAACTGTCATGCTCTAAAGTCTAGTCAGCGGCGGGCAGCAGAGGGGAATTCGCATTCTTACGGACCCCAAGTCGCACGGACCACTTCGGCATCATTTATCGATGGCGGGAAAATTCGAATAAAATTTAAATGGTGACGTCACGGGCCTGCCCTTTCTCATTGACTACGAACTTTTCCACCTAAAAATTCATGACCACGACGGCTGTTAGTAAATATTTAATTTTAACAATAACAATGTCACAATAGACCCATTGTTGAGGAACATTTTTTTCGGTATTACATATTATTGCGGTCAGATATAGGCATGTTCTGAAAAAAATTGCTCATTTCCACAGAAAGTGGAAGTAATATGATTAAAGGCTGAGCACTGTTGAACAAACAACGGCTTAATTGGTTATACGTTAACAATACTATTACAAGAAATATCTCATTCGGAAAATTGTGAAAACCCCTCAGCTGAAAAATACCCGTCGGGAGTTAATTGTGCTTAACGAAAAATACATCTCTTGATTCTTAAGTAAAGAACAAATTTATTTGTGTCGGTGTTTCGATATTATTGCAGGTCGTTTTAAAATAATGGTTGCTCGTTCCAATTACAAATTAATATAAGATGGAGAGCCTTTTAATAACAGGCCTTAAGGTTCGTGCAAGATCAACTCGATTTGCGAAATCGTTTTGAAAAATCCTTGATGTAAATTCCACCGCAATATATCTCGTTATGAAACTCGATCATTCTTCTTCCACTTGAAAAATTTCTTTTCCACCACTTTCACATCATGTTCAACCTCGTCAATTATTTATTTTTACACACGCCTCCATGAGCATCGTGTCAGTTTTTCCATTTATTTATTTATTCGAAAAATATAGCATTTTGCTGGCCATTTTACATGTTCGTACACCCGGATATTCTTAAATAAAATATGTAGCGTTGTTGCGTAACAATCTGCGTTTATCATACGAGAACACTGCCATATTTTCGCTTCATTTATTCCGAACGTCGTGCCGGATCGGAAAGCTGATACTCCAAGGTTTTATTTAATTCTCGCATTTGTATGAAAAAAATTACTGAAATGAAATGGAAAAGTTGACAGCCTCGTGACAATTTCACGACTCCGGGCACGCAAGAATCCAAAATTAAAGTGATTCATGGGTACCACGGTTTCTGGAAACAACCCTCTTCTTAATTGTTCACGGCGATATAAATAAAACGCTCAAGAGAATTTATTCCCGGATGCAAAAATTAATCACGCCGAGATTCGCCGGCCACTGATGAGCCTTAAATCGACCCATCATTGCTTTTCGGGCAAAAAGTCGCCGGAATTTTATCGTGTGCGAAATCGGAGCTGCGCTCGGCCGAGCGACTTCCCCAACAAAAAACAAAAATAATTGCGTAGCAACGAAAAAACTAATATTTGCCAAATTAATCACCGACGACGTCTGCAAAACGGGAACTGTAACCCATATTTGTCATGCGCTTTTTGTATCGAAACACGTGTAACACAATTTTACCAATAAATTAATTTGGAGTCAAAATTGCGTTGCCAAGTTTATTTAAAAATTCCTGATGAAGTTCCGACAAGTACACGCCTCATCAATTCAAACGTTTTCATTTATAACGGCGAAGATTAAAACGCAAATTGTCTCGCTTTACATATATATGGGTACTTCATTGGGTTATTTTCGTAGGGGAAATTTGAATAAACTTGATATCAATTATTTATGTATCGATTTGTTCACACCAGGCTGTATTTTTGTAATACCAGTTCATTCTGGAGTGATTCTATAGTGATAATATAACCAAACACGTATGCCTATATTCTTTGAAAACTATTTTTGTATTTATATGTAATCAAATTTACATGTTTAATATGTATTTTTTTTTGTAAAATGAATAAATTTATTTATATATATAGAAATTTATGTATATTTATGCATTCGGGAAAACAGTAAAAACAGTAGTTCGGCGGAAATTCACCACCCACATACGTGCACACTGAACAAGTTTTATCACTCGAAGCTCCTTATAGTTATCTCAGTTAAATTCGTTACATAGTAGATCAAATACGGCCTTGTTCGTCGTTTCGTGACCGCTAAACTTCGACCGCGGTAGGTAAATGTGGCTAATCGTATTCGTTTAGGTGTCAAGATTCCGGTGTAATAATGACATTCAGAAGCAAAAACTTCCGATTATGGCTCTGTCTGCGGACCTTTTCGCTGTAAATGTTTCTTAAATTCCCCAGCGTGACCGCTGGGGACAAAGCAGGGTAAATTCTATTCTTCATTGATCTCGGAGGAGCGCCGTGTTAACATATTTCTAGCCATTTCCGTGTGAGCCTATATATATCACGTAGGTAACTCGACGTTTACCCTATTATCAGCAACGTAGTAGATTGTGGATAATTTTTAGGCGAAGTGTAACGAAAACGCGTAGGTAGTCAGAATCTGGAAAAATGTGATTCTGGCTGGTTTTAGACGTTTCCGACACTCGCAGCACGAAATTGGCGCTGTAACAACAAGAACATGCACTGCGGAGATAGCGGAAGCTTGTTTTTGCGTGTAATCCGATCCTGCACATGCACCTTGCTCAGGTTGCAGGCGGTGGAACGTCATTCGTATAGATTTGCATAAATTGCCTAGCTAACAGTTCAATTATCGTTGTGTTTATTAATAATTTTGATCGTCATTTTCCGCGTGATGGTTTATCGATTGCATTGTCGTATGGGAAGGGCTGGAACCCTTTTATTCCGTTAAAATGAGCCAGGTAGGATATTACGTTATAAAGCATAGATCCAGGCAACATCTGCGCCTGTATTTTTCTCCCCCGTTGTTCATTATCAAATGACAAAGGAATTAGACTCGCAACGCCACATAAACTCGGAGGGATTAGTCCTGGCGGACGCGCCGGCTATCTCTTGATGTAGGCGACGATGCGATAATTAAATGCATCGAGTTTCTCCCGACCTGGGAAAATTCCGTTGCAAACGAACGCACCTTGTATGAAGTTGCAAAATAAACAAAACCCGAGCTTACCCATGTTGTGCTATTATTGACCCCAATTCTGTTTTTCTTTGCACTTCTTTGGCTTCGGATTGTTATTCAAAGAAAGGCCGGATAGTCCCGGTATTTGTTTATTTGGTTTACGTGATGGCACGATCTTTTGGCCTAAAGCGTTTGGCTACACGACGGGAAAAGAACAGGCGATAAACAAAAACCAAACCGTGACGTGTGTTGCGACTTCATCAGATCTCATTTATCAGAGAATCGGCGGCCTTTGCGATTCCGGAGGTACAACACTCATATCACATTTCCTCAGGGAACGTCGTAAGAAGATGCGCGCCTAAAAATAAAACCTATCATCAAAACCCAACTTCGTTTTCTCGTTTTCAGGGGAAATGTCAATTTCGCTGAAAAATTAGCTGTAAACTGTTCTATAAGTATCTGTCATGACGGAAACGCGATAAAAAATGTTTTGAAATTTATACCCTACGCTCCGTGCTTATTTAAACTACGCAAATAATAGTCGCTCTTTTGCAAACAACTTATATCATTACTCACCGAATGAATCGATTTTTTTTCAAAAGTGCTAAAG